GGCGTGGCAGCCTCCATCTGATCCTGCTCATGAAAGGCACCTTCATCAGCTCCATAATGGTAGTTGTGAAAACTAGGGGTGGAAATCGGTACGGTATCGGTATCCCAATACCAAATACCAAAATCTCGAATACCGAATTACACCCTAAAATCAATCCCAATCCCAATCCCTAAATAATTTCGGTATCTCAATCCCAATCCCTAAATAATTTCGGTATCCCAATCGGTACCTCGGTATCCCAATCGGTATTATCGAACACATAATTAATTACCTTTGCAATTAATAATTAAAATATAAATTAGATTTTATTGTTTAATTTAGAGCAAAGAGACTAAGCAAATAGTCTTGAGTTGCCTAGAGCTAACATCTTAAGTTCTTGTAATTTGTAATCTTTAATTTGACGAATTTGAGGTTGAGAGACGACTAATACTAGTGTGAAATAGTGATGTAATGATCTATGTATAATTAAATGACACTTTCGGTGGTTGAGGGTCGCGTAGTATTGAATGAGAGAGTCTAGTTGAGAGGATAAAATACACACTAGCTTATATTTCGGTATTGATCGGTATTTCGGTATATACCGATCCCAATCCCGTAATCCCTAATACCGAATAACAATTGAAATTCAATCCCAATCCCAATCCCACAAAATAATACGTATATTCGGTAATACCAAATATAAACAAATTCGGTACGGTATTCGGTATATCCCAAATACCGGTACCAAACTTCCAGCCCTAGTGAAAACTACCGCTGCCTGACAGGAAGTTGTACTGGGCTTGGTTGGGGACGTCCGGTTGAACTTCTTCTTCATATGACGAGAAAGATTGATGATGTCCTGCACCTTGCCCTCCATCTTGGTACTGAAAATAGGAATGAGGATCATGGTAACTTTGGTAGGGATGATCGTCATATAATTCACCTCCACCATGGATACCAGATGTTTGACCGTGTACAGAATGACATCCAACACCAACGGCTGGCTCGGTGTAAACGAACATCTCGGCTTTGGCCAATTTGTTGGACCTCAAGAATTCGAGCATGGAATCTACGTCATCTTGAGTGGTTATGGTATATTCCTCATGCCACAATGACCCAGTTGCTCTGTTTGGGTATCGGTACACCATACGATCTACTCTTCTCGTGCCATCCATGCAAGTAACGTCAGTGCATATTTGATGGAGGTCTTCAAGCTTCGGTCTGGTACCGACCGTTATTTTCTGAAAATTGCCACCGACGTAGGTGGCCCCCTTTCCGGTCTCTTCCGTGTAACCATTCCACCGTAAGCCAAGCGTTAACTGACGGAATGCCATCTGCACACAAACAAACCGTAGTTTAGTTAATATCATAAAAATCACAAATCACAAATAATAATAAAATGTAACACAAAATAAACTTACGAGTTAATGTTAATGGCATAAAAAGTAACACAAAATAAAGTTACGAGTTAATGTTAATGGCATAAAAAGTAACACAAAATAAAGTTACGAGTTAATGTTAATGGCATAAAAAGTAACACAAAATAAACTTACGAGTTAATGTTAATGGCAAAAACACTAAATAAATATAGACATACAACAGAAAAATGAAAGAGAGAAGGAGAGGTGTGAAGAGTAGAGGTTTTCCGGCAAGTCTTATATAGGGGAAAAAAATGAGGAAAACCGCACCTCTAGGGTGCGGTTTTAGTCTGCCATGCAGCCCTACGTCCACAATTCTCTGCATGGCTGTGTCGGGTGTCGGAAAATTATTGACACGTAAACCGCACTTGGGGGGTGCGTTCTACATGGCCAAACCGCACCTTAGAGATGCGGTTTGTTCTTGGAGGAATAAACCGCATCACTAAGGTGCGGTTTGTGTAGGTCAGGCCTAAACCGCACCTCGGCCATGCGTTTTATGTAGGCTAGACCTGAAAAAGCATGGCCAAAGTGCGTTTTAGGCCCACCAGAATGGAACGCACCCTCCAGGTGCGGTTTACATAGAAAACACACCTGGAGGATGCGGTTTATTTGTAAAACGCACCACAAGGGTGCGGTCAATAAAAAAGGGTGCTAGTTTTGTAAATATTTTTGGAAGGGTGCTAGTTTTGTAATTTTTTTTTAAAAGGTGCTATTTCTGGAAAAAACTCTGAATCAGTTAGCACTCGACTGTGAATCGCGTCTAAAAATTAGGTTCATTGATATGGTATCCAAGATCAAGCCAAGGGTAGAGTGGGATGTTGAAAAGAAGAATGATGCCAAGAAAATGGTGAACATTGAAGCACTACGAATTAAGATGAAGGAATTGCTAAGATTCTCAAGTGAGCACAATGTTAAGAATCAGAAGTTAATGCAGTTCATGTTGGAGGTATGGAGTCCGAACTTCAAGGGCAAAATCAAAATGAAAGAAGGCAAGAGTGTCAAGCTTGGCCAGATCAAAAAGGAATATGATATTGGGGAGCGCTTTAAGACACTCACGATTGAGAGTTTCGAGTTTGCACCAACCACTCGATTTCATGGGTGGCACTGGGGCTTGTATCAAAGGGAGCATATAACAATCTCTGGGTTGAGTTTGGGAGAGTGTTATCCACTTAGCTCCCAAACGGTGGTGAGTTCTGCGAAACGACCCTAAAGATGCAATAGTTGGGAGGTACCCAACATTTGATTTGCATCTGCTTTTCTCTACTCTTAATAATGAACTTGCATGATTGGAAATTAATTTTGCGGAGCTTTTGTCGTTATCAAAAGTGAATGGAACCTTACTTGGTTAAGATACGTATGAATGTGTATTTGGTGATGATAACTTGTTGATAGAATGTTTGCATGTAGTTGTATGTGAAAATTTGCATTTAGCCTACAGTAGAAATATCACGGGCTCGAGAAGAAGTACACTCTCGTGAACTTGCTCCACAATCCCGTGAACTTAAGCCCTGATTCAAAAGATCAATATCCAATTCCAAAGATCACGACTGTGAACTCTTTGAAAATACTCGTGAACTCGTCATCGGCCACAAAAGGGGAAGTTCCCGATCGAGATCACTATTTCCCCAATTTCACACTTTCAACCCCTCATTTTCTTCATTTTTTCCACTGCAAACCACCACAAAGCACCCACAACTTCCATTGTCTTATTCCAGCTAATCTTTTATTGTTTTTTGAGTGACATACTATCATTAAGACATATCCTAAAGGCTTAAATTCTAATTTATTTTGCCACATTGTCAAAAGAATAATCCTTGAACGGGTTGAAATATGGGGTAAATGAGAGTAAGAATTTAACCATTTTAGGGCCAGGACTTGTCATCCTTGAACGGGTTGAAATGTAGGGTGAACGAGAATAAGTATTTAACCATTTTATGGCTAGGACTTGGCATGAGAAGTGTGTGTCACGTGACTCAAATTTGAATGATTGTGAATGCATATATGTGGTTTGGACGTCTTGGTAGGAAACTAGGCTTTATTTGCTTGATTTTAGCTTACCATGAATATGGGAAAGCCAAGGAACAAAGGTTACAAAACAGCAGACTATACAGGACGCCAAAAACCTCCTACGGAGTTCAGCCCCAGTGAGTCTCTGCTACCAAACAGCAAAATAAAGCAAACAGAGTACCAAGCTATACACCACTTAACTTGTGTCGATAATGACTTGTCTAGGAAAGCTCGTTCCAATGTTGCCTTCCCTCAGAAGCCTCACAAGATCGGTTGGTAGTTCGTTTAATTCATGTGTACCAAAGGGATAGACGAGACTGTGCTTCGAGAGCTAGTCTGCGACTCTATTCCCTTCACGGTACGTATGAACCAAGCGAACTATCCAACTCTGAGCAATCTGCCTGCGAATCATGGTTAAAAGGGTGGCGTGAGGATGAACCGGATCCGTTCAGCTGTCAATCAATTGTAGTGCTAGTTTGGAGTCTGTCTCAACAATCAAGCAACGGATGTCCATTCTCCACGCTAATTCCAAGGCTTTATGAATGCCCCAAAGTTCCGAGAGTATGGCTGATCCGGTGCCTATGTTGCAGCAAAAACCTCCAAGCCATTCTCCGTCCTTGTCCCTGATACAGCCTCTTGCCGCCATAAGCTTTGGATTGCCCTGAGCTGCCCCATCGGTATTTAGTTTACACCATCCGGCAGGTGGCGGATTCCAGCATATAAGCCTTTCTTCCCTCACAGGTTTGGGCGAGGAGCTCATCCTATCAGTAGCCGATCTCCATGTCTTAACCCAGTCCTTTGCTTTGGAAACAATGTAATTGACCAAAGTTGATCTCGACAGCCTTGCAGCTTTGAATATGAAATCATTTCGGTGCTTCCAAATGTACAAGCAGATGAGGGAGAAAAAGCTATTCCACTCCCCTGTTTTCTCTACTTCGTCATCTCTTTCCAAGTTTTTGGCAAGCCAGCTTTCCTGATCTGCAGTAAAGCACGGTTGCTGAAGTTCCTGAGGAACCACTCTCTCCCAAATTTGCTTCACATTGTTGCAGTCTCACAAACAATGTACATTAGTTTCGATCTCTGACTCGCATATGGGACACTTGTCATTGTCGGTGAGATGCCCACCAAAAGCTCGATGAATTGTCCAAACCACAAGAATTGTATTTTGTTGAATCAATGTTTGGTTATTAAACTTGAATGCATATGTTTGACCCTAAAAGCATGTTAGTTGTCAAGATGGAGGAATTTGATTGGATGGTTAGTGGTGTATTGACATTTTGTTCATTTAGCCTAAGTGTTCTCATATTGTTTTCTTCATGCCCTTACCTTCCTAGTTTGAGTTGTTTCTTGTCTTTGGCCACCGACCACGATTTAGGAACCTACCAAATTTACTTGATATACTTGGTTACAACCAATCAAACATGTATTTTCACCTGCTCCTCCCATCGTATTCTTTTTCTTTTAGTATATAAAAGCTGCCTATGCTTTATTGGCATATTTGTCGACACTGTTTCACTTTTTGTCGTTTACTAAAAGAGGAGTCTTGAATCTTCCCGCCGGTGCCTCACTACAAAATCCTCAAGCATGGGGTAACCTTTTTGTCCTATAGTCCTTTCACCATATCGATCTGCCTCTAAGCTCTTTCCACAAAACCCCACTTTACCATTCACATGGCCACTCCACTCCTACTCGCCACGCCACCGCTCATGATTCGTACGCCCCTCCCCTTACTCCACTTGAAGAGTGACCTCCTCCGATTCACTCTAACAGCTGCACTCGCACGCCACCTCCCATGCTTCCTTCACTCCTATCGTCGCTCCTTTCGTTCCAAAGAGCTATTCTCTTATGTGCCTGGCCCATTCCAGTTTTAGCTCCAGCTTTTGGACGTCGGAGAAATTCCTTGGTCTCTTGGTGAACGCCGGTGAAGTGTTTCAGAAGCGGTGGATGGAGGACTATGGGGGGGTCTGCAAACGAAGAGGGTCGGGAAGAGGTTGGAGAGGACGGCGGCCGCGGCGGTCAGAATCACATCCAACGAAGACCAGAGCAGAGTCCCGCAGCATCCACAGTGAAAGGTATAGAAATGGTGGAATCGTTCTGATTAGCTCTTTACATATTCAACAGATTGGTTAGCTATTTACATAGGTGGGTCATTTTAGAGGTAGTACTATCAAAGATTCCTCAGTTTGGAGGTAGTAGTCGAAGTTTTAGTTGGATTTTATTCTTACGCTCCTTTCTCTCCCAGATTTCACTCTCTATCTTTTCTTCATCTTGATTGAGTCGAAAGAATTAAGGAGTGAGAAACTAAGACTTGACTTCCTCGCCGGACTTGGGTTTTGCTTACCTCAGCTTAGTTTGGTTCAATTAGATGAAGATTGGTGGATCTGGATTTTTCATATTTGATCAGGCTGAAAGACTCCTAGCTGAAGCAGCTGAATTGAGGCAAAAAGAAGCAACTCTCACTTACTTTCATTGAATCATAGCCATAGCAACTCTTACTTAATTACTTTCATGGTTGTGTTTTTTACAGGAAATTGAGGTCACTGAGTGTCATTCAAGCTCATATAAGGTTGGTGAAGGAGGATTTATGATGGTTTTATGAATTTTAGGGAGTTCAAAGAAATTGATGTTCTGCTATTTGTTGCAGAGGTACAGGCAGCTGCAAGTGAAGAAGCCTCCAAGGATGGTGTTGACGTTCATCAATTCCTCTTAGGTGATTTACGGTCATTTTACTAGCCCCACTTCCCACCTGCAGTTGCTTGGCTTGGACATGGACGATGAGCAGATGGCAAATTTCAAAGGAACACTAAATGGTTGACTCCTTCCTCACAATTGGTGCCAGATTCCCCACATACAGAGTGAGTCCATCCTATTTTACTTGACTTTAAGTTTTTGGCTTGCTTTTAGTCTTTAAAGAATGGACAGAGTACAACAATTGACATTTCTACTTTGTTTCTTTGTGATTACATTGAAAAAAAATGTAACTATAGAAAGAAATGATCATCGAGTTTGAACCTTTCCTAATTGTTGCTTATGCTTTCACACTAACCAAATTCATTTGTTGTTTCTTTTAAACTTACAAGGCTCATTCATTCCTGACCACCGTAGGCAAGCGAAAACCCTGATTCAACCGCACACCTACTATAAACATATGCCATGTTTGTTTCGATTCGTAAGCTAAAAGATTAGCAATACAATTCATACATTTCTCTTGCTGTACTTTTGACCCTACTGTCTACTGTCCTCTCCTTACCTCATCATGATCAGTTGAAACTTCAATGTTTCGATTCCTTTCTTCCAGTATCGTTGGTTCCTTAATGGTCGGTCGTGTTTTATTTTCTCCTTTACATCATTTTCTTACTGTTGTGATGTCTTTGCCTTTGAAAAGATGGTAGTTTCTCACTTATCTACAAAGTAAGTAGTTATGAGGGATAATAACTTCCTGCACACTAATGTGCAACTAATTAATCATGCTTTGCTTGCTTGACTTTAAATAAGATCAATACGGACGAGATAGGAATTGAAGTTTTACAAGTTTATTATTGGAGCTATTTAGGTGAAGACCCTTTTTCTTGCTCAATGAGATTCGTGTGGGTGCTTTTATAAACCATTTATAGTTTAAGACTGTTCTATTGTCTGCTCCTTCCCAATCTTATTTTAGGCTCCTTATTTTCTTTTTTGTTTGCTTTACGTTTTTGTTTTCTAAACAAGCCTTGAACTACAGTGCCATAAGTTTTCTCTGCTGTCAGTAGATCGGTTTTTTGCTTGAACAACATTACTGAAGACACTTCATTGAACTGCATAGGCGTAATTTTTCTCTGTTGTAAGTAGAGCGATTTTTTGCTTCTCACTATTCTTTATCTGTAGCTTCTCACTATTCTTTGCTCTTATAGTAGAATTAATGAATTATCCATTGTCGTTGCGTTAGAAAGAAACCAAACTTATGTTCACTTTTACTTTCTTTGTTTTCAGTTGGTGATTTCAATTTTTCGAGAACATTTGAAGAGATCTCTTTTACCAGCTTCTTTTTATGAGTTTCTTTTATCACAAATACCATTTCTATTAGACTCATCCAGTTTCTTCTATAGTAGTAATAAGGAACGGCGTGTGTGGATCTTATGGATCATTTCCCTTTTCTTATGGTTTCAGCCTACATATTTCTTGCCGTAGTTGATAGTTGTTGTTCATTTCTAGCGCCCGATTGCTTCTTTTGTTTTTCACGAGCATTTTATTTTACTTTTTTCGTTTTGTTTACATGACAGCTGGGTTTTTTTTTTCTTCTTCTTCTCGGGCATAGGATGTCACAACATTTGTGTTTATTTTTGGGGTTTTGCTTGATTGGCGCGCACAACCTATGTTTCACTCAATCTTCAGGGGACATCAGCGGTTTAACAAATAACAAGGGAGCTGAGGTTGGATGTATATAGATTTCCCCCCAAAGATATACTCTCCTTGGTATTTCACCCATCTTTATCTGTAAGATCCAGATCCAACAATCTTTCATGTCATACGTAGCTATGATTTACCTATTTGGTATCTGCCCTGATCTCCTTCCTTAGTGTCATTGTTTGTGTTTGTAGTAGAGATGTGATCCAGACTACTAAATCACTCGCTCGGTAAGCTCTTGACATTTAATATAATCCAGCAGCAAACCTGTTATTAGAGCTCCTATGCAACATGTCTCAGCCTTATTTGCTTTAATTGTATTTGTTTTGCATCAACTTTTATCATGATAGTTGCGTTTTGTATTTGTGCCTTTATCTTGGTTGATTATTACTTCATCTTTGTGGATTCGTCTAATTCAATTCTTTAACACTTGCAGAGCAGTTGAAGCTGATGTTGAGTGCCTGAAATAGGTTTCTACCGAGCAACCCAAAAGAGGTTATAATGCTACGTTTGAAGAAGAAGAGAAGAGGAAGTAGGTGAAGATGCAATGAAAGTGTATTTCTTCTCTTTCTTAATATCATTACAAGGCTCTGCCATTTATAGATGGCTGAAAGGAGCTATACAGATATGAGAAAGGATTTGCAAAAATATGCTAAATAAATGTGATGACAGGTTCATGATCTTGAGAAGATTTGAGAATTGAATGTAGGACTGAACCCCAAATAGTGCTTGTCTGTTTCTGTTTCATTACGCCCCCGCAAGTGAAACCTCAGTGAGGTGAAACTTGGAACAAAATCGTCGAAATGGTAGTCGAGTGAGAGGCTTTGTGAGCACATCCGCCAGCTGATCTGTAGTTGGTAGGTAACGAACATTGATAGCATCATATTTGCACGTGTTTTCACTCTGGTTTCCTGCCCATTTTGGCTCGAATTGATTGTTCCTTGGCCTATTTTACGCTAGGTTGTGTTCCTTTGTCACATTTCAGGTCCTAGCACATAAAGTGAAGCATAGGCGCAAGTTTCAAGTCAATCAGAGATCAATTGACGATTCGGGAGAAGAAACTCTGGCATGACCTGAAGAAGAATGGATTTCTACCTCACTTTATGGACAAAGAATCATGCAAGCTTTTCATGAAAAGAAAGAGGACGAGACTACGAGCGTCTGGGATCAAACGGCGACTGATTCGGAGTCCGGACGAGGGAGAAACGAAGCATTGAATATAGGGGAACAGGTTCGGCAGTAAAAACACGGGCAGGAGGCCTTCAAAACACGGCCGTGTTCTGTGACCGTGCTTTTACTGCCGAGAGCAAATCCGAGTTTGGCAGACATGAGCTGATTACACGGGCAGGGCCGAGACAAAGCACGGGCGTGTTTTCACCAAAGCACGGCCGTGTTCTCCCTAAAGCACGGCCGTGTTTTCACCAACATGTGGCCGTGTAATTAACCCTAGCCAAAGCACGGGCGGGCTGAGGCAAAGCACGGCCGTGCCCTCGACAGTGCTTTGGCCAGTGATGCCCTTTTAGGCAGATTTTCAGCCAAAAGAGGGGGAATTCGATTTTCTGGGCAAAAACAGAGTTTTAGAGAGAGAAAGAGCGAAGAACAAACCCTAGGAGCTATTTTGGAGTGGATTTCTCATCATTGAAGCCCAGATTGCGCCCCTAGGAGTGAAGATTGACATCCCAGAGCAGATTTTCCTCATCTTTATGAGTATGACTACTCTGATTTCTGTTTTCCTTTCTCTCTCTATGGAGTAGAACCTCTCTCTCACTTGGGTATGAAGAACCCTAGTTCCTGATGTTAGGGATTTGATTGTAATGACTTGGGAATGATATTATTGTTTGATTTTAATCGAATGACGCATGTTTCATGAATTGATTTGAGTCTGATCAGCTTTTCTCAATTTCTGCTGCAACCTGAGATAGATAGAATCTGATTAGGTTGTTAGAGCCTCTTCATTCGATAGTAGGAGATTGGTTATACGAGAGTTAGCCAATTTACTGCTTTGTACTGGTGTTCTTGGCGCCAGTAGTGGAGTTCTGTGTTCATAGCCTCAGCTTTCTATCCCGGTGAAGACTAGTCGTCTGCCGGGTAGTTAGACTGAGAGGGCTTGGTCAGCTTAAGAGATTCCAAGCTACTGTCGGATCTTCCGCAGTCTAATCAACAGTAAATCAACCCAGGGAATTGCAATTGAACCTAACTAAGGGGCTAGGGGGGCTCAATCCCGAGTGACTCTTAACTACTTTTGAAAACCGAACCATTTCCTGCTTTCTTACTGCTTTTGCTTTAAACAACACTCACTCGACTTAGTTTGCTAGATAATAGAGAATCACGGAGTAAGCAGTAGATCTAGACCCCGGGTTGATAATATAACTTGCCTGTTACTGCATTCCCGGACTGCGATTACACTTGGTCGCAGTTTGGTGTTGTGTTTTAGCGTGTTAAGTTTTTGGCGCCGTTGCTGGGGACCCCTCTAGGTTATTGGGGAAACGTGATAATTTGTTACTCTAGCTTTTATTTACTGCATTTTCTTTCTTCCACATGTGTGCCTTCACGGGTTGTTTCTTCTGAGTGTGTGCAGGTAGTGCATGACCCGTAGCCAGTCGGGAGGATTACTACCATTAGACCAGGAGCTTGAACGAACCTGCCGGAACTCCAAGCGGGTTCTAAAGGCGCGACTGGCTGCGGAGAAGGCGCTGTCACAGCTACAGATCGGAGAAGAAGAAGAAGGAGAGATGGGTGAGCCGCAGAACCACGAGGTGATCAACCCAGATGAGCAGACCATGGGATCCTACTGGACCGCTAGGGCTGCAGACATGAGGTCACCCATTCAACACCCTCATGTCCCAGCCAACAACTTTGAGGTGAGCACCTCCGTGATCACCATGCTGCGCGGTTCAGTAGTGTTCCGTGGTAAGGAGGGAGAGTGCCCTCGATCACATCTCAGGCGATTCCACGAGCTCATCGATGGAATCAAGATCAATGGGGTACCAGCAGATGCCATCCAGCTGAGGTACTTCCCATTCACTCTGGAGGGGCAGGCCAAGGAGTGGCTAGACACTCGACCTCCGGGCTCCATCACCACGTTCGCCAACCTGGCGGACAAGTTCCTCACCCGCTACCATCCTCCATCCAAGACTGCTGATCTCCAGAAGCAGATTACACATTTTACTCAGGATGAGGATGAGACCATCAGGGATGCTTGGGAGAGGTACAACAGTCTTTTTCTCAGGTGTCCCAATCATGGTTTTAATGATGCATTCAAGGTGGGCACCTTCTATCACGCTCTCTTCCCGGAGGACAAGCAGCTGATTGATTCGGTTTGTGGCGGGAGCATGCTGACTAAAACCCCGCCACAGCTGAATCAACTCTTTGAAGAGATGGCGGAGAATGGTTATGATTGGGGCACTGCCAGGAGATCGAGGAGAGCACCAGGCCGGGGTGTGCATGCTGTGGGCACCCAGTCATCTGATTTGGTGCAGGTAGTCTCGAAGCTGGTCTCAGCTATCGATCGTTCCGGGATGATTCCAGGGACCGGACAGCAGCAGGCGATGCTCTGCCAGTGGTGCGAGAGCACCCATCATATGGTGGAAGACTGCCAGGCGATGAAGGAATCGACTACACCCCAGGAGCAGGTGAACTTCATCAACAATGTCAGGCGCAATGACCCCTACAGCAACACGTACAATGAGGGGTGGCGCCAGCATCCTAATTTCTCCTGGGCTGGGCCAGACCCCAGACCACCAGCTCCACAGGGACCACCGGGCTTCCAGAGGCCACCATATCAGCCCAGACAGGGGCAATTCCAGCAGCAGCAACAGTCTCTCTATCAGCCCATGCAGGGGCATGCTGCTCTAACACAGCCGCGGCCTT